TCCTCATTATAAAAACTGCCGCAGTAAAACAGATGTTTGTGTCCAGCTACCTCCAGGATCACTGGAGACTAGAGAAAGCTAATGGCAATTTGATAGTGCCCTAAATGATGGGAATAAATACCCTGGGTTCCAAGTCAGAGGAATGCTGGACATTTCTGTCTGATGCTTTGGGGATTCGAGCCAACTAATGGATAAAGATGGTGAGGAATCTCATTCTAGTCATGCCCTCCTTTCCTAATTTCCCTTTTCACTGTTTTGTCTTCTTTGCCTGTTCCTTGGGGAGCTGAGTGATTGATAGCCTAATCCAATGACTGTATTACAGCTGCCTCAACTTGGACTCTTTTCCTTATCATTAGCAGTTAGCCTATGGTTAAATTCACAGCTCACTGCTTGGTACAGCCCCTGAGATTTCAGGGTCTGGCCTTTAGAAAATATTTAACATAAAACTGAAATCTTGACATACTGAGAACTCAGTTCTCTGCAAGGCTTCTTTAATTAATCCAATGTACTGTAGCATTGTTCTGTATGAGACTGTGACATGGTGAACTGTTTCTGAAGCTTACAGAGATGTGTAGTTCTAAATTAAACAGTCACTGACGTGTACCTACACTGATTTTTTTTTTTTAGTGCAGGAGATATGCATGAATCTGAGAATATTTAAATTCAATCTCAGAGACACAATACTCTTTAGTTTTACTTTCATAATAGAACATTTTTGATTAATTACAAGCTTGAAATCATCCTTTATGAAACACACACACACACACACACACACACACATACACACACAGGAGATTTAATAATTCATTATCACTACTGCAAAGGTAAGAAGTCTCCTTAATGTGCGTGTCATAATCTTGTGGTTAACAAAGTCTACCAAATATTTTCTTGGGAACTGACCAAGCCTCTGTTATATGCACTCCCACCTCCAGCCCCTCCCAACCTTGTTTTGACTAAGGATCCACTAAGTCTATTAGCTTATTTAAGAAAAAAAAAAGCTGTTTGGTCCTATCAGCTTATCTTCAGAATTATAGTTATATTAAAATAGCTATGGAAGGGATGTAGACCTTGATCTGTGCTTTCCACCTTTGCCCTAGCTCCAGTCAGTCGATGAGCTGTAAGCCTCTATGAATATGGCAGCTGAGTCCCAGATGAAAAATTATGCATCTCATAAACTGCTATTCTGCTGAAATGTCAAGCTATGGCAAGGCTGTACCTCAAACTCAGCACTTGGCATTTTCCTTCTGTCTGCTTTGTTGCCATGAAGCAAACACGAACAGTGAGGATTTGTGTAGGGCAGGTAGCAGGCGAGCTCGCTGTCAAAAATCTATTATTAGGGCTCTGATCTCCTGCACAGACCAATGACGGCCGTACACTGAGAAAATCAGGCAGCAGCAAAGACAATATAATAGAAGAGAGAATTCTTTGTGAATCTCTACATGAATATATTCAAATGAGCATTATTTAAATGAGAGGGTTTTTTTTCCTAATGGCTGAGCTGCTCGCAACAGAACTGATAATTTATAATGGAAAATGGAATGCTGCATCTTTATTTGATAAACCTTTAGACTGTTGTGGTGGTTGTGTTTTTGTCCAAGTATAGCCTTTATACTATTAAGGCATTAAAAATTATGATCAGTGAAACTTCTGAGATCGTTAGGTCTCCACAAATTTGAATAGTAGGCAGATCAAATGTTTAGTTCATGATAGAGCTCAGAGGTCAGTAGTCTGAGAAGAAAGGGACTAGGCAGTGAAAATTCTGCCTTTTAGGATTTTTCTTTCTTTTGTGTTTTTGGTTTGTTTAAATTTGATATTTGTTTTTATTTTCCATGTTAAAACTGAAACTTCTATAGCTATTGATGGTAACACAGAGGTCTTAATTTGATAGGCTATAATTTAGGTGGGTTTGGTAAAAGTTACCTATGCACTTACAATTATATAGAAGTCCATATGTGAAGTGTTTTGTAAAATTTAAAGCACTATATAAATGTTATTATTATTTTTTTTCAAAGCTCAGCTCAGGTGCCACTTACTATAACACAAAGCTTTCCCTCACCTGCCAGTTGTTGGTGTTTCTCTCTCTGCCCCTCCCTTCCCCTGTACTCTATTTTTAGTTTATGCATATTTTGCACTTACTAATTTGTATACCTATCACTTCTTCTCCATAAAATATAAGCTCCTTAAAAGCAGGTTCTATTTTCATTTTTTGTCCTTGTATTACTTTCTCTCTCTCTCCGTATATAGATATATACCTATATATATCTATATATGAGATATATCCCATTAAGAGTTAATAAAATAAAACTCTGAGGCATGTGGATTTTTTATATTCACATATGATATAAGAACCTCAGCATGATCCTTCAAACAATCTTGTTATGTATGAAACTATTTGTTACACAAATAAAATTCAAACACAACTCTTGATTTTCTAGAAGACAATATGATATTTTTTCATTCTCAGTTTTAAAGAAATGATAATCATAAGCTTATCAAGACAACAAGAAAGGTTATGTTTTTTCATGTATTATATACGAAATTAGTTGTATGACACTGAGCAACCAAAGCTAAAGATAGCTACTACATTTTTATGTATACAGTTGAAAATTTATTCCTAAAGATCTGTTTAAAAAGAACCCAAAACATCGGGGGTGGGAGGAGGGTCAGTGCTTAAATTCTTATTTTCATTCAAAACCACTGATTTAAGTTATTAAGACTTCTTCAAATTGTATAATTTATACATCTATACTTACAATGCTATGCACAAGTTTGCAAAACTATTAACAAAATGTCCACTTTATCTTTTCTTATACTCTTTTAAAAGGTTTAAAAAGAAAAAAAAATTACCATAAGGAATGATGGAACAGTTCACAGAACTCAGAGTGAACAGCCCAGAAGGAGGAAATAATATATAGCATACAATCTTCTAGTTGTTTTTCAGTTGTTTCTATTGTGTCTGACTCTTTGTGATCCCATTTGGGATTTTCTTGGCAAAGATATTAGAGTGGTTTGCCATTTCCTTGTATAGCTCATTTTACAGCCAAGGAAACTGAGGCAAACAGGGGTACGTGACTTGCCCAATGTCACATAGCTAGTAAGTGTCTGAGGCCAGATTTGAACTCAGGAAGATGAATCTTCCTTGCCTCCAGGCCTAACTGTATATCCACTGTACCACTTAGCTGAAAATTAGACAATTTTCCAATCATTTGTTATTTATTTATAGAGTGTAACAGCTCTGTTTTGAATAGGCTGTTAGTTTGCCGAGTAAATGTATTAGTTAATTTTTATATAAAGGATTTCTGTACGTGTACTACATGATAAATAAAGGTCCTAGAAGTTCAAACATGTTGTTCTTTCATCCTAGACAATTTCCCATCCCAGAAACAGTAGTAACAACAAGTTAGCAGTTTTATTATTAAATAAAAATGAATATAGTTGAAATAATTTACTTTATCAGACAGTATCTTCAAACAGAGTCCAAATGTGAAACCCACAAGAGGAAAAATAATGACACTTTCCATGAAATTCAACAAATCAGACACAGATAGAAGAACAGCTAGTCAATCTCAAAGTTTTGAAGACAGAATAAGCCATTGGAAAATGTTTTTCTCTTCTCATTAAATAGATTTGTTCAAAATTACCTTACTTCAAATGCTTTCTCTTCATGGAATCATTCCATTATGATTTTCCCGATGTGGTCATAAAGCTATTTCAGATGAATCAGATTTAAGAAAACAGTTTCTTTAATTGACGCCTGGAAGAGAAGGACACTTAACACTCCAGCTTTTTGTCTGGATCTGTGATTTCATGGAGGTAGGGAACTCTTGGTGCGGAGCCTATCTCCCTGTGTTTAGATCAGTGACTTACCAGCAATATGCAATCTTAAGGAGTTGCCTGGGGGCTCTGAGAATGGAAGTGCAATACCCAGGATCCCAAAGCTAGTATGTGCCAAAAGTTGGACTTTAAATGGCATCTTCTGACCTAAGCCAGCTCCCTATCTGCTATACCATGCTGCCTCTCCCAGTCATTATTAAGTCTCCCTAATAAGGCTTTTGCTACTTGATATGAAGTCTCCATTCTTAAGAACCAAAGGAAATTATGATTCCTTGGTGACGTGTTGTGACGTTAAAAAAAAAAAAACCCAACAAAAAACACCTCTTCATTCTTTTAAAAGGCTAGCCAGGGTGGTGAACCTGCTACCTCAAGGCCACATGTGGCCTTCTGGGTCCTTGGGTGTGCCTTTTGATTGAGTCCAAGTTTTATAGAATAAATCCTTTCATTAAGAGGTTGTTCTGTGAAGTTTCAATTCAGTCAAAGGTCCACACTTGGGAACCTAGAGGGCCACAGGTTCCCCCACTCCTGGCCTCTAGCTTTGGTTTGACCAGGTGTCTAACGAATCCACAAAGAGCTCGTGAATCTACTAGAGAAAACAATTCTTCCCCAGTAATGGAAAGCATAGGTGGTATAATCACCAGAAATAGAGCTGTATTTAGCTTTCAAGCTTTTGATTCTGTGCTTCAGGCAGCTCTTCTAGGACTCAACTACAATTCTCTGGGGAACTCTTAGAAAGACATTAGTACTGTGCTTTGGTAAATTTTGTAAATCTTGTAAAGATAAACTGGCCTATTTCATGTGATTTTCTCCTTGGAGGTAGCATTTTGAGTCTTGACAGCCATGTTCCATATTACTAAGAAAGATACTTAGTTACTTTGATTATACTACCTCTCCTATTTCAACAGCATCATTATTTAATACTTACTTAGCACAAGTGTGTTTGGCTTTGTTTTGTTATTGCTAATACTGTAGATACTAAATTATAGAACCGATTTTACCCCTCCTCCAACATATTACCCCTGTCTGAACTAACTGCCTTTCAGATTACATTACCTTTAAGTCAAAGCAGTTGTTTTTTGTTTTGGGGTTTTTTTTGCGTTCATTGGGAGAAACTATTTATTTTGTTGCTATAGTGCAGACCTTTAAAACAAAAAACAGAGGATGTTAAACACGGGAGGACTTTGCATGGGCCCTATCTGAAATAAATGCCAAACCTTCAAATACCAGGTGATTTGCTTTTTAAAAATTTTGTTTTTTAAATAAATGCTCTATACAGACTTAGATCTACTACAGCCTGAGTGAATATTTATATCAGAATTTATAAACCTGAGAAATAGAAGATTTTATGGAAATGCTAACTGGCCCTTAGGTATAGCTAGTTTGTTTTCAGGTGTTGCTATGATTTCTGATGTTTGCATGCATGTGGAGGTAGGTTTAAAAATGGTGACACAAAAGACTTTACCTAATGCTATAATTCTGTGGTTTTATTAGACTGACTTACAGCATGGAGAATATTCAGACATTGTAGTATAAATGAGAAAGTGTGAATGGTACTACTTATATAAAATACTACCGCAATAGTTGTTTTATTAATTTTTAATGTTCAGCACCCTCTGTGCCCTCCTTTATTCTTTTGCTGTCAACATGGCAGGCTGGAAAAACTGAAATGGGCTGACAGAAAACATAGTGCACATTACAGCCCAACCCAAACTGTCTCTTACATGCATGCACATGTGCTCTTGTGTGTGTGCGTGTGCGCGCGCACACGCACACACACACACACACACACACACACACACCATGAACCTTTGTTATTCCAACAATACAATTTAAGACTTTGGTATACAGTCACCATAACTTTGGGTTGTGCTACGCACCAAGCAAGTCCCCTTTTCTAGCTTCATCTTATGCTGTATTGTTTCTCCAAATGGCATCCAATTAGAGCTATAATGGGACTCTTTCACCAGGGTTCCTAGACACACCTTCTGCTCTCTCAACATAATACCACAGCATGGACTGAAGCTTTATTTTGCTCTATCCGGTCTCGTCCATATGCACATTTTGGTTTGATTCAGCACTGTTTTTCTTGAACAGTGGGACACTATTATGTTACGTATATTTACCACTGTCTCTATCACCAAGGAGACTAATCCCCATACCAGTACAGTCAAGAACCTCACAGCATTGTCTCAGCAAGACCTAGTTCATGTTGTCACAGCAACAGAGTGCGGCGGGTCAATGAATTAATACATTAGTGAGTGCAGACACTGAACAGGATCATGGGCTTAAAACTTTTCATTATTGTTGTTGCTGTTGTTATTACTACTACTATTATTATATTTTAATATAGGCACTAGAAGATTAACAAAAAAGACCACCTGAAGGTGCAAGGCTTGGATCATAAAAGATCTTGTTCTCTGAATCTATCAAGGCAATTTTTAAAGTGGTTTGTTTTGGATGAAGCAAAGCAGACTTCAGACATGAGAGGAAGAAGAAAAGTAGTTTGGCCTTTTAAATAGATACCATAATCAGGATATTCCCCCCTGACATTATCCTTTCATTAGCCTCTGTCTAGTATGGAGCATGACTATTGGGAGGATGAGAAATTATGGGAAAAAGCAGAGGCCACAGGAGAGCAGAATTTCTCAATCCTGATCTCCATTCTGGTGTTCTGTTACACTATTCTAAGATAAAGGAAAGAGCATCATGAAAGTTTTCACACTCAGTTCTGTTCCATCTGTCCTGACTGTGAGGAATCTCGATTGGCAATGAACTATAAGAACTAAGTATTAGAGAAGACAAGCTATTCTGGTCTACTATGAGATTACCGAAGGCCTCTCAGGACGCACAACACAATACAAAGGGCAAAACTTACCAGACACACTACCATATGTGGTCCTCTTCCCCACACCAACTGCAGGCCAGGGTGTGCTGTCTGCTCTGAGTCCTATCAGGCCCAAGACAGTGTTGGTGGCGGTAACACCATCTGCACCACCTGTACGGAGAAAGAAATCAACATTCACTTGGAGTTCTGGTGACAAGGCTAATTGAAATCTTTTCTAGCCCATAGGCAGAGCAATGGGCATGGAAACAGTGCGCACTTCTGAGAATACTCACTGCCACCTCCTTCCCATCTACTTTCATCTAACATTCATTCCTAAACATTTATTAAATCCCTACTCTATGCAGAGCATGAGTATAGGTATTGGGGAAGATAAAAAGCACACTCTGACTTTATGGAGTTTGTAGTCTGGCAAGAGAATAATAAAAATCAGTGGGAATAATGTATACAAAGAACTTTGTAAACTCCAAAAGTCTGTAAATGCAAATTGTTATCATGCCTCCATTCAAAAAGGGTTTGTTAAGAATACACTGTGTGCCAGGCAGTGTGCTATCCTATGTGGATAAAAAGACAAAGACAATCCCTACTCCACCTGTAGGTGGGTGCTATTGTTATCCCTACTTACAGAGAAGGAAAATGAAGTTCAGGGAAGGTAAGTGATTTGTCCAGGGATATAGTGAGTAAGTTCTAGAAGGGGTTGGAACCTGGGTCTTTTTGACTCTAATTCCAGCACTGAATCCACTAATGGCACACTTCTGTTCTAAATAAAATGGAAACGGGTAACTATTATCTTCAATAATATATAAAATGACTTTGGAGATGTATAAAACAAAGTGCTATGTGAGATCTAAGACATGAAGTCATTTTAGAGAGGGGACATCATGAAACGTTTTAAGGAGGAAATGCCATTTAAATTGGGCTTTAAAGGGTAGACAGCAATTCAGAAGCCAAAGAAGTATAATGACAGTGAAGAAGAACATTCCAGGTAGAAAGAATAACATTCAGGATGTGATTCTTGAGACTGTAACTCAAAATATAGTACAGAAGACTTTTTAATGGCCTTGTATTGATTCTACCATATAGGTCTACTAGTGGTAGGCATTTCTTCGCACAAATGCTTTTTAAAAACTGTACCCTATACTTAGGATTTCAGAAAACAATTTCTTGGATAAAGCATAAACTCAAAAATTACTTAAGTTATTTATTCATTAATTCATTTATTATTTCTTTAGCAAATATCTATTAAGGGCCTACCATGGGTAGGGTATTATGAAAACCAAATGGGGCCCACTTTGAGGCTAGTGTAGACTTATGACATTTTTCAAGATTTAGGAATGTTATTTAGATTTGTGGCTGTACAACCTTCTAGATCTCTGGCTTTGAGGATTTGAATGCTATTGCTGAAACCATGAGCTTATTATATACATTTGTGCATTTGAAGCTGGGATTCATTTTCAAGCAGAACAGATGGTGACACCAGTCTTTATTCCTAGACCCAAACAGAGGTGCATTGACTAGTTGTTTCATCCTTTTCTAATAAAATAAAGTACCAGTCCTAAGTTTGTGTGAGATCTACTCTTCATTTTAAGGCCCGTCTTAAAGTACAGATAAACTTCTAATAAATCATGTCCTTCGAGTTTATTAGAAAAAGATAAAAATTTTGGAAATATCTGATGATTTGATCTACACACGTTAGTTCAGAAATTGTTTTCAGTACAAATTAACACGGAAATTTGTTTAAGACACATATCAGGATAAGGGAGACAGACTTGTTTCTTACCTTCCTGAGCAGCACTTGCAATTCTTACAATATCAGTGATATTTGGGGTCAATTTGGCAAAGAAAGGAATCCGAACAGCCTGTCTAATCCAGCGACAGATGTTCCGCACTATATCTGGATCCTGTTCAAATAGGTCAGATAAGTAGAGTACATAATTAAAATACAGTGATCGAAAGGGGGATCAGAACAACAGGAACACTGGGGAAGTCTAAGGTAAATCCAACTTGACAATACACTATAGTCAGTACTTTTCCTGAAATCCTTCTTCAGAATTGCACCTAAAGTCATTAGTTAATGAAGGTTAACACACTTCAACTGAACTGCAAATTCATCACCTAAAGGAAATGCTGAAAATAAAATTATGAAGAACTCAAGAAAGATAAAAGTTCTAACCTCATTTGTCTAGTCCCAGGAACAAAACCCTCTCTTTAGCATTAGGAATTTCAGAATCTATTGTGGAATTTTCCAACAATGCATTAGCAAAGCCTTAGTGAAAATCTTTTAAAATGCTATTTGCCCCAAGATGAAAAATCATAAGAAGAAATTCCATTAGGATTTTTTTCTTCCTTTTGTGTCATGTTAAATGAATTTCAAATAAAAGACATAAATGACTATATAATCAAGCTACACAAAGTCTTCCCTACTTTGCAATGTGAAATAATCCAGTCTTGGGGATATATATGAGCCAAGCAGCATCTCAAGCTTATTTTTTAAAATGTCACTGTGATCATGGAGGCATTTTTCAGCACTCACCTCCTTGAAAGAATTGATCGAGATGACAAAAATGAAATGAAATATCAAATGCATGTTTTTAAAAGCTACGATAGACATTTTCATGCTTCTGTTTCCTGTGATTTTTTTTCAGGCTTTTACTTCCCTCATGGGATAAGTATCATTTAGAGGGCAATCAGCTATCCTTGCCATTGAAAACAACTTAGCTGCAGTCATGTTCTTTGATTTCAACACACACAATAGTTCTTTTTTTCATTACTTTTAGTTCAAAATGTATTCTGACAGCTACTGATAATGCACTTTGATAAATTACCTTAAAATATGCAATAGCGATTCATTATTGAACTTAGCAAGCAATATTATCTTAGCAAGTTAAGATGTTTTCTGAATAAGAACCCCAGAATATATATGTGAAAGTGTGTGAATGTGTGTATGGGTGTGTATGTATCCTATAAAGTAGAAGAAAAGTGAATCATTTACAATTAAGTTTTTTTCTTACTAGAAAAGTTGCTCTTCATATCTCTTTATTTTTTCAGGTTAAGTCCCAAATTTTACATTTTTTTTTAAAAAGTCTTTTTGCTCAGAGTTAACAGTCTCTGATCTGTTATCATGAATGACTCAAAGTTGTACCGATATACACAGAGCTGTAGCAATGATGTAAAGTTCTGTGGACTGCAATCTTCTCAGTTTAGCAATGCTTAAAATTGTAACAGGAAATCTTTGGCTAGGCTTGTTCCATTTTCAAAACGGTAATTTCTTCATTAAACATAAATATTAAAAAGCAGTATATGGAATGGCTCTAACAGGGCATACTGTGCATTATGAATAGTAAAATCCTGAGACTTAGCTGTACAAATTCTAACTCATAAAAAT